GTTTGTAAAACATGTCTTTTTGCTGTAAAATCTGTGAAGATTTTTATAAAGTAAACATAAGAATAACTTATTTTTTTAGTAATATTTCAAGATGAACATTTACTGGACTGATGCAACTTTTACTTGATTATCCTCACATCATTTTTCAGAAAAAACATGTTAAATGTGAGTATCAGATGTGATACATCAAGTTAAATAATCTTACTAAGACATATTATTGGAAAATATAGAGTGAAAACTGACTGATATTTATAGGCTTTTTATGTAAGCAGTTATGTAACTGCTATACAGTTATAAAGATCTCATTGATTTACATTACAAGCTATCAGAATTTCATCTTTCTTTTTGCCCATGTAAATATCAGCAACTGCACCAAATACCAAATTTGTGCTCAGTTTGGGCCTCTGTATAAAACTGATGTTTTTTCCTCCTCAATATTCTTATGAAATATTAGATATTATTATGAAAATCTGGCCAATTATTACTTATTACACTTCTTTTTCCAACATGCTGCCCCAACAGCACATTAATATGCAAATTAGGTACAGTGTATAGATAACATTGTGTTTAACGGGAAAACCAGATTATGGAAATTTTACACACGTATTGTATAAAGTAAAATGGTATATCAAATCATTTTGTTATATATTTTATAACATAGTTGAGAATCATCCTTATACAGTTTGGTATAAAAAAAATCCTGAAACCTACAAATTGATTGGTGATTTAAAAAAAAAAAAATCCCATCATGTTTGTCTTTACATGTCTATTCATGTCATTTTATTTAATTTTTTTTAGAAAAACTGAGTCCTGGTGTCCTCTACAGAGGACATAGCTTAACACATGAATAAAATAGAATTTAAAAAAATATATGTTCTAAACAATGTAATGACATGAAAAAAACACTAGTTTATGGAATTTTTACACACATATTGCATAAAGCAAAATGGTATATCAAATCATTTTGTTATATATTTTATAACATAGTTGAGAATCATCCTTATACAGTTTGGTATAAAAAAAATCCTGAAACCTACAAATTGATTGGTGATTTAAAAAAAAAAAAATCCCATCATGTTTGTCTTTACATGTCTATTCATGTCATTTTATTTAATTTTTTTTAGAAAAACTGAGTCCTGGTGTCCTCTACAGAGGACATAGCTTAACACATGAATAAAATAGAATTTAAAAAAATATATGTTCTAAACAATGTAATGACATGAAAAAAACACTAAATTCACAAAGCTTTTTTGTTTCTGGTTCTCAGGAGGATATGAGAACTTTTTTGTCCGAGTGACTTCATCAGACCAGTTTTTCAGTAGTTCTGCTTACTGATACTATCTTGTTGCATGCCATGTGTTTATCGTGATGTGTTTATCTTCGTCATTCCAGAGCTGTGGGTAAAACATGCCTGCTGATCAGCTACACAACCAATGCCTTTCCTGGAGAATACATCCCCACAGTGTGAGTACCTCCACTTCATGTCGCAGTCCTGATCACTCACTCGAGTTTGTCACGGTAATGCAACTGAGAATACTGATTATTAATCTACAATTATTATTCTAGATTAGCTTTAAGCTTCATCTAAGAAAAATTGTCCATTTCAGCATAGAAAACAGTTGGAGACATGAAAACAGCACCATAATTTTGCCAGTGACAACAGGAAATATCCAATATACTGACATATTTTATCTGAGCTGTGATTCGGCCGTTCAGAATCATGTATTCCAGAGAGTTCGGCATTTGTTTACAGTCAGCATGATTTTACATCCAGTTTTACCTGGTGGTCACTGATTAACATTCAGAATTGCATTGCCTTTCGATTGACAGATTTGATAATTACTCTGCAAATGTGATGGTGGATGGGAAACCAGTGAATCTGGGTCTCTGGGATACAGCAGGACAGGAGGATTATGACAGACTGCGTCCCCTGTCGTACCCTCAAACGGTAAGATCACAGACCTGCAGCCAGCCTTTTTAGAAGCTAATGAAGAGTTTCGGTTTTAGTGCCAACCAGTGTGTTTCTTTACCCACCTTTTTTATTTATTTATTTTTTTAAATGAAATCATATAAAATAATTCACTGTATGTAGGAATTTAAACCGACACAAACGTACCTTTGCATTTACACTGTCCCTTTCCATGAAAGTGGACTTAAATCTTGTTTGTCCACTTAATAAGTTACAGTCTCAGTTATCCTTCCATTCTTGCTATTGTTTTTTGTAACAGTCTAGACTGCCCCAAAAATTGTTATGACGGGTTTACTGTTGTACCTTTTGAATGATTTCTGAGGTTGCAATAAATGAATGATGATGACTATATGGCATTTACAGTTACATTAGCATTGTACTGGTAATGTATACAGCCACAAATGTTTGGACTATGAACTGATAGTGACTCTGTAGTCAACAGGGTTCACAGAATATCGATTAGTCATGCATTAATTTTCTCCTGTCTGTTTTTCTAAATATAATCATATTTTGTCATACACACTGTCACTTTTAAACAACAGCATTTCTTGTCAGTCTGAGACATTGCTGGCAGATAAGCAAAACTATAAGCCACTGCATAAAATGTACCACATATGAATTTCATATTCTGGCTGTAAATAGTGGAAATGAACCTGTAAATCTCCATCGGTGCATCATGAATGCTTTTTTCCCCATAGGACGTGTTTCTCATCTGCTTCTCCCTTGTGAGTCCTGCCTCTTTTGAGAACCTTCGTGCAAAGGTAAGTGCTTTTTTCAAAGTAGAAGGTAGAGCCAAGCTAGCAAATATTATCAGAGCTTTACTTCTTGAAATAATTAGTGCATGCAGGACTGACATTGCATGTCCATTTCTCACTTGTGCTGGTTGTTTTGATCATTGCGCATTGTCTTGTGTGTGTTCAGTGGTATCCAGAAGTGAGGCACCACTGTCCAAACACGCCAATCATCCTGGTAGGAACCAAGCTTGATCTGAGAGACGATAAGGACACTATTGAGAAACTGAAGGAGAAGAAGCTCACTCCCATCACCTACCCTCAGGGCCTGGCCATGGCCAAAGAGATTGGTAGGTGGAATCAACGCATGTTTAAAAACCTCATGAGAACATGTCCATTAATAAATGATTTATTTAATAAATCAATTATTTAATGATTGTAACAAATCTTTCACTTTCGAACTGCATTTTAAAGCAGTTGTTTTTCTTTATCCATTTACGAATCAAGTTGCCATTATGCATTTAAGATTTGTATTTTCAAATTATTATAATTATTTCAAATTATTTTCAATATAATTGTAATTGATTCCTTCATGTAGTTTTCCATATGTTTGGGCCCAACATAAAAATCAGAAGAAAAAACCAAGTATACTTTGAATAACAAAAGAGAACCCTGTTTTTAGGACTAATTTTAGGTTTCGCTAAAACTATTTTCAGTCGTTCAATGGATCCAGTTGTTTTCAGAATCTCATTAGACTTTTAGAGTTATTAAACTATTAATATATTAAACAGTACAAATTAATGCTTTTGGTATGTTTAATATTATTACTTTTATAATAGATTAAAGGGTTAGTTTACCCAAAAATGAAAAATCTGTCATTGATTACTCACCCTCATGTTGTTTCAAACCCGTAAGACCTTCGTTCATCTTCGGAACACAAATTAAGATATTTTTGATGGAATCTGAGAGCTGTCTGACCCTGCATATAGACCGCAACGCAACTGAAATGTTCCCAGTAGGAAACAGATCCGGCGTGACGCAGCTGACACAGAACAGCATACGCTGTTTACTTCCAGCGGATATTCTCCAAAATGGCGCTACAGGGTGATGCGGAGGAGACGAATTGTTGAATAAAGTCGTTTTTTGTTTTTTTTTGCGCACAAACACAGTATTTTACGCAGTATTCTCGTAGCTTCGTATAATTGCGGATGAACCACTGATGTCACATGGATTATTTTACCGATCTCCTTGCTACGTCTTTGGACTCGGGAACATTTCAGTTGCGTTGCGGTCTGTGGAGGGTCAGACAGCTCTCAGATTCCATCAAAAATATCTTAATTTGTGTTCCAAAGATGAACAAAGGTCTTACGGGTTTGAAACGACATGAGGGTGAGTAATTAATGACAGAACCCTTTAAGGTGTTAAGCCTAAAGTATACTTGTGGTTTTCACAGTAGAAAACAAAACTAAAGAGACGGAACAACAAAATACCAGAGAATACCGCATGTCTCTTCAAAAACAGTATACTTTGAACTTTACAATATACAAGTGCACAGAGTTGTAAATGTTACACATTACTGTGCCATAAAAAGCATCCGCATTACTAAGCTTTCTGAATGGAAAGTCAGTATTTTCTCACACATCATGCTTATGTTGAAAGTGGTTGTGCTTGTCTTTGTTTGACAGGAGCTGTGAAGTATCTGGAGTGCTCAGCGCTCACACAGCGCGGCCTTAAGACGGTGTTTGACGAGGCCATCCGTGCCGTGCTCTGCCCTCCCCCAGTCAAGGAGAGGAGGAGGAAATGCCTGCTGCTCTAGAGTTCTGAGGAAAGATTGCTGTGATCCAAACTGTATTTCTAAGGGAAGAAGTTAAAAATGAGACCATGTTTCCATTTCTCACTTCTTCCATTGTAATTACCAGTACAACTTTATACCTTCACAAAACTTTTATCAATATTATCAATAGATGTAGTAAAAAATCTATCCCCTACCCATCTCCCTTAGACAGACACATACTATTGGATGACCTGCGGCCTTTGACTAATGGATATTAACTTTTAGATGGTTAACAATGTCCTGAAGTTGGTTCCTTCCGTTGAGAACCCGTAAGGTTTGTTTACAGTCTTCGTTTGAAAGAAATGAAGATCCTGCCAAATAGCACTACATTAGGATGGGGCGGTACTGTGTCCACCACATTTGTTGCTTTTTACCCCTTAAAGGGCTGCAACCATTTGGCAAACCAGAACTAACTGTTGGCTGCTGTGAAGCAAATGCGATGTCTTGTGGTTTAACCCATTTTTTGGAAAGCGATAAAGTTAGCTTACCTCGCACCTGTTTCTGAAACATGAGGTTCTGTTAATGGAAGGATGAGGTGTCCAAACTGATTTTTATACTTGCGTTCACACTATTTGCCATTTGTTTTGGGGAGGTTATACTGTAATTTAAGGCCACACTAATTATACACGAAAACATGTCCTAGCCACATTTCACTCCTAAATTTTTAAGAAAACAAAAAAAATGAAGCCTCTTTTTAGGACCTTTTTGTCACAGTTAAATTTCCCTTATTGCAATATAATTTTTGAAATGTAGTATTTTTTTGTATGAATTTTACTATAATATTTTACTATAATGAGAACTTTGATTGGGAAAATGGGCTTAATTGAATGTCATAATATATCATAATGCATGATCCTAAAAATAGGCTTTATTTTTGTGTAATCAAAGTATAATTTCCATTTTTCTTTTGAGGTGAAACATGGCCAGGAAATGTTTTGTTGGTCCCAGTATGTCAAGAAGTCTCAGAATGGGCAGAACTAGTTTTAGTCCCCAAATATCAGCGTTCAACAATGGCTTTTTAAAAAATATCTAATGGATCACATGGGACATTGTGTCAATCTTAATTTAGCGGTATATGAACACCTTGATGCTCTTTGGGCATTTATAATACACCATCTTCAGCCATATCTATTTTTTTGTTAACACATTTTTAGAAACTTTCTTCTTTTTGACACTTTTTATATTTGCTAATTTTACAAAAAGAAAGACTACGGTCAAAAGCGTACACTACAGGAATTAGTACGTTTTCTCTTGATGCGGTTTATTCCACTTAATCACTTACATTTTACTTCTTACTGTACTAATAACATGTAACTGTCAAATGTGTTTATATTCTGAAATCAACTGATTGTCTTATTGATTTGAGCAGCACATCATGTCCAAGGTATTCTGACTTTTAACACTTTTACATACTTACTTGAACTGTCCCGAGGCACAAATACAGAATGTGCGTCATTTTTGATCACCCTATCGAGCTATTTCTGCACTGTTATAGCCAGATTGTAACCCTGTTTTTAGGGGTATTCATTACGTCACTTGTTTTACAGAGATAATGAAACGCAATAAATTTAGATTAAACCCTAAAAAGTTGCGTTTTGTTTCAATTAGAAACCTTATGTAGCTCCGCCCAACCTTCTGTCGTTCCGATTTTAGCCTTCAGCAGTCGGTTAAATAGTGAGGTTGGTGCAGGACTCCCGAAAGTATGTGATTTGCTTTTTACCGTGGTAATTTACACTCAGTTCTGGACACAACTGTCTTAAGCTGTAAATGCCATGTAACTGGTAGCAACATATGGTCTCAAAACCTTAACTAGTGGCGATCCTGAGTGGTGCCAACAAAGACACCATTTGACACCAAGAAGTTTGGCAAAATTTTATTATATATATATTGTGCACAGTTGATTCTGCTTTTTGTAACCAAATTAAATGGCAATAAATACATTACACAGTTCAATTCAAGTCAAGTGAGTGGAGCTCTTAGTTGACGTTTCCGTCCACGCATCGTAATAATGTTCCTGATGTTGTCTGTATGCTACAAATAGACAAACACGTCACATTTTAGACATCAGACCTTGTCCTCGCAATTACAACTCAAATGTGTTCAATGATACAGCAGTCTTACCATTCCACTAACTCTGCTCCCATTATATCATGAATGTGATACTTCATCTGGAATTTGACCTGTGAAGTTGTGCGGCGTCCCTCCAATTCAGTCTTGAGGATTTCACCGTATTTGGATTTCTTAACCATGCCGAGAACAGCTTTGCGTCCTGTTAGGAAAAAAGACATTAAACAGCAGGCAACGGAAATCCACTGTATGTGTGTCTCTTGTTAAACACCTAACCTTAATGAAGTACTTAATGAATTTGCCAGAGTTCGGGATTGAAAGCCACCAGCTGCCCGCATCCCTCACAGTGAGGACGCCTGATTTCACCAGCTGCCTGCAAGTCCAAAAGCATCTTCAAATAAGTACAAGAGACAACAAACAACATATGAACAGTTGTGTCCTCATCCTTACGTTATCTCTGGGTCTGTAAAGAGGAACTCCTTAAGCATTTGTTCCTTGTTGAAACTCAAATCGGAGCAGCCGGGTATTAGTTTGGCCAGAAATTTCTCTACAGTTCCCAACGTTTCTATGCCAGCTTCCCCCTGCAGGACTTTTGTTCTGTAATCTTCAGCAAACACCAAAGCGAAGGCCTCGGAGTCGAACCCCAGCTGGAACATCAACAGCTCGCCATTTTCCCTCAACTCATTCTGATGAGGAAAAGAGAAGACCAGAGCTTCGGAATGTGTTAAGGTTATTATAAAGTTATCTTTATATATATATAGGCCTATAGATAACGCAATCTGATCTTACCACTTGCTTGTCCACTGAGGTTTTGTCATTGTGTAAACTGTACAGCTGGTGTTTTAGGACCACTGGTGGGAGACTGTCGTTGAAGAGCTTTCGTGAAAACAGTGTCATGAGATACTGCAAGCTTGACCTGATATCAGCTGCCCCATCTGCTGAACAAACACCATACAGCATGGTTATCCTCATCATTTGTGTAAGGAGTTCAGCAGAAACAGATTCTAGCAGTTACATACTGTATAATGTAGTATTTTAAGCCTATAGTAGCATGAGTATAGTAATATATTAATATATTTACATGCTTTAAGATGCTTACATAGCCATTATAATGATCATTTACAGACATACTCATATGGCTGAAGACCTGAAGTTAATGTTTTTTTTATCTATATATATATATATATATATATATAACACATACATTATATAGTATACATACATATAATAATACACAAACGTATTATTTTAAGAAGGACTCTTGAAACTCTGCTACGTTTTTATAAAATTAGAAAACGTCATTATGTATCAGTCTCATGCTTTATCGGTTTTAAAAGCAAATGTTTTTACAGGGTTTAAACGCAACCATGAGGGTAAACTATAGATATGAAATCAAACCTTGACTCTTACCGGTCACACTGTCAGCTGCACATCTGCGTCTCTTTGTTAAACAGAACGTGTCTGCGATCAGGGCTCTTTTTCTGCTCATTTCTTACTTTTATGCACGGCCACTAACGTTACTTCATTTAACTGTTTTTCCTCATGTAAGTTAGCTAGCTTGTATGCTAGCTGAGAATATCGCAAAATGTTTATATATTTAACATTTGTCCTGCTGAAGTGACAAAGGAACACGGTTTTTGTTTTCAAAAATACATATATTTCCATAAATTCTACTCTTTTAACTCGAGTTTAAATGTCCACTCCACAGTTCGACAACACATCAGCTGACTAACTCTTCCTCCTCCGTTGCTTTCAGGATGAATTAAACTCATCGGCTGCTCTCTGGCGGACTCTATTAAAACAACACGCACGCGCTCACAGAGAGGAAGTGCATTTGTTGTCCCCTAAAACTGCAGATCTACAACTCTATAATTGTTTCATTTGGTCGGTTTTAATGTTGAAGTGTGAGTAGACAAGTCTAGTCTGAAACATCAAAGTGGGAAATTGCTAAACATCTTCTACAAAGTATTAATAACTCAGTTTTTTTTAGGCCTATTATTAATTATTTGAAGGGGGATTTAAAACAACTTGTGTACTTGCCTGGGAGCCATCACTGGGTCCAAAGACAAAGTCTGTCCTCTACCTGGGGCAAAGTAAGCCTGCACTTTTAACATTCTCTCATGACCTGTGTTCACAGATGAGATTCAATGCCAGTTTGTTGTTTATTGTTGGTTCCCACCTATCCATTCCCAAAACTACATGTATTATGTAGGGTCACAGGAAGCCACCCAGGAGTTTAGCAACAAATGTTGGGCCCCTGTCACAGAGGGGTGGGCCACCTTTTCCCCCTCACCTGTCCCACCAGGCTTAAGTGTCTAAATTCTATTTTTCTTTTATTAATATTTTAAATACTAAACAGACTGCTTTATTTTTTATTATGATTCACAACTTTTTACAACCCCAATTCCAGAAAAGTTGGGACGTTTTGTAAGATGCTTGGTTCATTCTCTTTAACTTTTATTCAATTTACAAAAAGTACAAAGAAAAAGATTTCCAAAGTTTTCACTGATCAACTTAAATGTATTTTGTAATTATAAACAAATTTTGATGGCTGCAACACACTCCAAAAAAGTTGGGACAATGGCAAAATCAAAGTGAAAAGGTTATATAATTTCCCAATTTAACTGTTTTGAAACAGTTAACAGTAAGCAGGTGTTAAATATAGCCACATGGGCTCAGGAGTACTTCGGAAAACTGCTGTCACTTAAAGGGTTAGTTCACCCAAAAATGAAAATTAGGCTGCGTTTTACTCACCCTCAAGTCATCCTAGGTGTATATGACTTTCTTCTTTCAGACGAATCCAGTCGGAGTTATATTAAAAATGGTATTTGATCTTTCAAGCTGTACACTTTTTTTTATGGATGGGCGATTTTTATTTAAGTTCTTTTGGACTGAAGCATGCAACACCCGCTGAGTGGCATTAAACAGCTTGAAAGATCAAAGACAATTTTTAGTATAACTCCGACTGGATTCGTCTGAAAGAAGAAAGTCATATACACATAGGATGCCTCGGGGGTGAGTAAAACACAGCCTAATTTTCATTTTTGGGTGAACTAATCCTTTAACACAGTCTGCCGTTGCATCAATAAATGCAACTTGAATCTCTGTTACTCTAGGAGAAAACTATACATCAAATGTATGCAGTGATGCTGCAGGGTTCTCTGGGCCCGAGCTGCTCTCAGATAGTCAGAAAGACAGTAGAAATGTGTGCTGTGGTCAGATGAGTCCGCATTTAATCTTGTTTCTGAGAAAAACGGATGTCGAGTTCTCAGTCCCAAAGACCAAATAAGGGACCATCCAGACTTTCATCAGCAACAGATGCAAAAGCAAACGTCTATCATGGAATGGGGCTGCAGCAGAGCAAACAGCATGGGTGACTTGCATATGTGTGAAGGTACCATTGACATGGAGGCATATAGTGGGATTGTACAGAGACATGTAATGCCATCAAGATGAAGTCTTTCATGGGAAGTCCTTGTTATTAGATCAAGACAATGCCAGGTCTCATTCTACTTGTGCTACAACAGCGTGGTTTCGTAGACACAGAGTGTATGTGTTACACTGGCCTGCCTGCAAAATAGATCTGTGTCATATTGAAAATATATGACCAGTCATGAAAAAGAGAATCCGACAACAATGATTACAGACTGCTGAGCATCTGAAGTCTTGTATCAAGTAAGATTGGACAAAAATTCTGCTTGCAAAATTTTAACAATTACTATCTTCACTTTCCAAACAATTAAACATTGTAATTAAAAGGAAAAGTTGATGTGACAAACATGGCTCTTTCACAACGTTGTTGGAGTGTGTTGCAGCCGTCAAAAAGTTGTTTATATTTACAAAATAAAATTAAGTTGGCCAGTGAAAACATTGAACATCTTTTCTTTGTACTTTAGTCAATTAAATAAAGGTTAAAGAGAACAAACAAATAACATATTCTTGATTTTATGGCATTTCACAAAACGTCCCAACTTTTCTGGAACTGGGGTTGTAATTGCAAGAGTCTACATTCAGAGGTTCAAAAACAAACTCTTAACAATACCTGCAGGAATGACCTGCCATACAATACACTACAATACTGTAGTGTTGTTCTCAGTATCAATTTCAATAAATCTATTGGAACTCATTTTAATAATTTTATTTAACTATTTGAAAATACTAAAAAAGTTCATTGTTAATGCTAATTATAATTCTAAATGGTACAATAAGAGATTAGCATGCACCCTTTAGATATTTTTCAGTTAAGTAATCATTGCTTTAAAAATATTAATTGAAAAGTAGCCTAATAAACATAAACATTACATGTGCTTTTTTCCCTCCATTATAGATATCACTATGTCAGTCAGCTCAATATTGGGAGAGATTAAAAGGGGTCTTTGGTTCTCTTAGCAGCATGAAAAACTAAATGTTTATTCAAATTGTGATTGGGATATATAGAAAGATCACCCTTTATAATCACTGAAGCTGTCAATCACTTTTTTTTGTGTTAGTATGTTTTTGACTCACTTATACCAGTTAGGGAGTGTTCCATTTTATTTATATTTAGTATAAATATATCTTTTCTTTTTTGATGTTGGCACTCTAATTGGGATTGTTCATTCATTCAAAAACCCACATTGATATAATTATAAATAATACAATATAAATACAATCCACAGAGTTTCACAAAGATCCACCCACTTAGAGATTTGTGGTCTAGCCACAGGAAACACCCTGTATGTATGGATGGCCGGTTCATCGCATGGCTA